CCCTGAGCTCTGTCAGGCTTGGGGCTGTGAGCACTGCCCTGGGGAGCTGTTCCAGTGCCCAAACACCCTCTGGGGGAAGAACCTTATCCTAATATCCAACCTAACTCTCTCCTGACACAGCTCCATGCCGTTCCCTTGGGACACAGCATCCCTCTGGGCTGCAGCCAGGAACACATCAGTGGATAAAGCCCCTGTGACACCCCTAACTCAGCCCTTGGAGCCTATCCAGCAGCAGCTTTATGAGCTCTCAGTCCTGTCTCAGTTGGATGAGTATCCTGGCAGGGCACAGGGGACAACAGGGCCATGCCTGGAGCTGGCTGGATCACCCCAGGAACAAATCCCAGCCAGGCCTGGGGCAACCCAGCACAGAAAATCCTTTTTTTTAAATTATTTATTTCAACAGAGTAGTGCTTGGTTACAGTTTAGTGAAGAACAAATAGGTACATTCATTGGCCACAGCTCCTGGTGCAGCCACTGCTGCCCAACTGCAAAGCCAAAACACTGTTAAACCAGACCAACCCCCCCCCCAAAAGAAAACCCCATAAAAGAAAGTTTAATGAAAGGCAACTATGCATTAAAAAAGTCATTGTACTTGTCAGCTATAAATTACTTCAGTAAAACACAGGCCTGGCCCTGGGAGGAGCAGCCAGGCCAGAAACCACGGGAGGAGTAAGTCCCAAACACATTCCCAGTGGCTCAGGGGTCCATCAGCAACGAGACTCACTGCCCCAACCTGCCATCCCAAATCCAGGAAGCTCTTAGTGTGGGTGTGTGCTTCAGTGCAATAGGAACAATGAGCCTGTAGCCCTTGGATTTTGTAGTTTAATTCTTTAATTCTTTCTTTTTTCTTTTTGCACTACACTCCTTTCCCTCCAAAGAAAAACTTAAAGTGCTCCTAGTGCTTTGGAATTTAAGCCAGAACAGGGGCCATGAGCATCACTTACTGTCTTTGGTGGCTTATGGGAGCAGAAAGAAGGGTGACACACACACCAGGCCCTTCGTCAGCTTTGCTATAAGCCAAGCAGTGATTGAGATGGAGAGACCTGTTCCTGCCAGGACACAGGTGAGCAGCCAGGGGGGAGCTCTGGGGCAGGGCCTGGAGCAAGAGGGATGTGCTGAGAGTTGCTATCTTGGCCTTCTCCCAAAAAGATGCAGGATTTGCTGCTTTTTTTTTGGGCCAGGGAGAGTGAAGCAGGTGAGCAGGGAGAAGCCAGCACAGAGGGACAGGGTGATCTCAGTGTGACAAGTGACATCAAGCTCAGCACAAGCAACAGGGTGAGTGAGGGGGGAAGCAGGTGACTAGTGAGCATGTGGGGAATGAGGGTTGCCCCAGTGCTGGGGTTTTTTTTCAGGGTCCCTCTGGCCCAGCACACCACTCCCTGCCTAGGCACATCCCTCAGTGTCAGACCCAGCTTGGAGCAGTGCTAGGCAGGTGAAAAGCAGTTCCAGTTGGGATTGGCACCAGTGGGCAGAGCAGCTCCCTCCCTGGCCCAGTGCCTCCATCCCAAGCTGCTTTGCTCATCCCCACATCAGGCTCAGGGAAAAGCCAGGAATGACATCAAGCCTCATCTCCAAGAACCCAGGGCAGGTTAAACTTGGCTGTTTGGTGAAGGAGAGATGGGAACCTCTCTCATGCTGCCCCAGCGCTCACACCCTGTACACGCACACTGGTGGCACTGGTAGGGCTCCAGGCCCATTGTCCTGCCCCATGGCAGGGGAGTGCAGAGCAGGGAGCCCAGGGATCAGATCCCTGTGGGTTCTGCCCCTTCACACTGCACAGGCAGCCAGACACCTCCTGCACCTCAGTGGGGACTCACCAATTCACATTCACTTCAGGTTAAAACTCTTGGTTATCTGCTAAATGCAATTTAATACTGAGGGGCACGAGGAGAGCCCCACTGGGGGTGACAAGGAGGGGGAGCAGGGCTGCTCTCAGCACCCACTGCGTTAATCAGCCCTGGATTCACACACATTCCTGCACACACACTCCTGCTGAGCCAGCTCCAAGCTTCTCCTGGAGAGAAAAGCTGGCCCTGTCCCTCTGCCATAAGCCAGTGGGTTGGTGACAACAAAGCCATCACCATGCCAGTAGGAACACGGAGCTCCCCCTCAGCTCTGAGCCACAGACCCAGGACAGGGGAGACAAGGCCCAGCAGGCAAAGCAAGACCCACTTCAGGTCAGGGGCCTCACTCAGCCCTGCCAGGTGGGAATATGGCACAGAAAGCTTGAGCATCCAGTGCAGGACACCCTGCCTGGCCAGAGCTCCCTGCTCCCCAGCGAGTCAGGATGCAGAGTACTTCACAGAACACGTCTTTGCAGGAAGACAGTGCCTCTCCCAGCTATGGATGTGCAATTAAAAGAGTTAACTAGAACAGTCTCAGGCCAAGCAGAGCCTGAGCAAGATTCGTTCCTTCCAAGTGTGCAGATAAAAGTGCAAATATGCATTTGATGTTTCTTTTCTAGTGAGGAAGCTCTGGTGCATTTAGCTGCCAACATCTTGAAGACCAGACCTTGAAGAAAAAAAAAAGCTTCCAGAGAGTTCAGCTTCACTTTGCTACATGGTACCTTAAAGTCACAGTTCTCTTACTCGCTGCCTGCAGCCTGCAGGCAGGTAGTGGAATGTTTGTGTCATGAGTTAGATGCTTCAGGGGATGAAGAGGAGGAGGAGGAGGAGGAAGAGGAGGAAAAGAGAAAAACGGGTTACAATCCTATACATGAATGCCACTGTGGGAAGAGAGGGAGCATCCTCAGTGCTGCGGGGCAGGGTGGGCGCTGTGGTGGTTGGTGTCGCAGAGCAGGGGAGCGCTGTCCGCGGTGCTCCCGCACACCTGGCTGTCGCTCCCGGCCAGGGACCCGTAGCAGCCTGAGCACTGGGGGGTGGCCAAGCTGCAGGAGACAGAAAAAAACCAGACATGGATTCATGTAGGTGAATAATTTAGCTCCTCCAGTGCTGGGAAAGACTTTTGCTCCCAGCACTGATGAGGGTATTTCAGTCCACAGGCACGGTATTGCCAAGGAAAGTGGCTTTGATGAAACAGGTACAAGGAGAACATCACCAGCCCTACAACACTGGTTAAGAAGAGTCAGAACCTCTGAACGTCTCACCACATCCCTGGGCAACAAGTGAAGGACTTGGAAGTAAAGTGGAAAGGAAGCAAAGTGTTCCAGGCCAGGTTGGATGGGGCATGGAGCAACCTGGGCTGGTGGAAGGTGTCCCTGCCCATGGCAGGGGTGGAACAAGATGGGCTTTAAGGTCCCTCCCAACCCAAACCATTCCATGATTCCATGTTTCCCCACACAGTTTTACTAGGGACACCTGATCTCCCCCACACCAGGGGTTCCTGCAGGGCTTTCTCCCAGCTGACTCCCAGAGATCATCTCCCTCCCAGGACTTCACCACCTCTCCCTTTCCAGCGGAGAAACTCCTCTGGAGGTCATCTAAGAGGTTTCTGCCCCATACTAAAGGAGGATCCTAGCAAAACCAGCCCTTCTGGATGAGCTCTTCTGTCTGTAAACACATTTCACCCTGTGAGCACCATTCACAGCCACCTTGGAGCTGGTCCCTTCTGGCTAAGAAAAACAGCTCCTTGTAAGCTGCAGAAGGAACAAAAAGCTCAGTCAGAAGCTTCCTGCCCCATCCACCTTGCCTAAGCTGCCTCTCTCACTAAAGTTTTCCCTAGGAGCAGAAGGGAGGAGCTGTGTCTGTTCCCCACAGGGCAGCAGAAGAGCAGGAAGATGCTTACCCTCCTTCTCTGGCCCCAAGCCGTGACAAGTCATCGTCACTGTCGTAGCGCCTCGGATTGTCGAAGAAGTAAGCTCTGGAGCTGTAACTGTGGCTGTTCACCATCCCTGCTGGAGTCTGTCAAGGAGAAGGCAGTTAGGCCAGAAGCAAAATAAGAGTCACCCCTGGGGCTTCTCCCTGCACAGGGACACTGGCTCAGGCCTACCAGGTTCTGACTCAGTCTCTGGGCCCGGAAGAACAGCACCACGAAGGTCGTTGGCACCAGCTCCCAGAGGAACAGGACCACTCCAAACACCACATACTCCTCACTGCTCACTTCCACGTGCACCTGTGGACACAAGTTAGAAGGGTATTATCCCAGGGTGTCATCCCAGCCAACCACAGAGCTACACAGCTCCCAAAGCTGGAACTGGGAATGCAGAGAAACCCTTGGGAATGTAGGAGACCCCAAACCAGCACAGTGACCCTCTCCTGACTGGTTTTGGTGAGCTGGTTGTGTTCAGTGTGCTACCAGGGCACTGGGAGCTCCCTCCCCACACCAGTGACTCTCTCTCATGCACAGCCATGCCTGATTAAGCATTGCTTTTCTGCTCTAGTTGACTTGTCCCTCCTCTCCCCCAAAAGAAGAGTTGGCAGGCTAAAAGGGAAGAGCACAACAGGGAATCCCTCCTGAGGAAGGAGCTGGAGAGAGGAAGACTCAGATTTGCTGGGTGGAGAGAGCTTCTGAAGGCAGAAAGCCACCTCATCTGGGGGTTCAGCTACACAGATCCCCCCTCAGGGCCCCCTTTTCACCCTCACAGGATAAAAAGTGACTGCCTAGCACTTTAGTGGCTCTGGATTGGGGGTCACAGTCACTTACCTTGTCTGAAAGGTTGTCCCAGCCATAGTTAAAGGGACCAGGAACATTGTCTGGAGATATGGCCACAGCTACCAGGTTATAGCAAGCCCTTGAGGAATACAGAAGAGCCACTACAGATCCCACCAGAATAGCCTGGCAGACAGATGTTCCCTATGACAGGAAGACATAAAGGACTTTTAATAGGGAGCTGTGATTTTCTTTCCCCCTCCCTAAAATGCATGAGCAGCTGTGCAGACAAGAGTGACCTAGAACATTTGTATGTTGCTGCTAAAATATTCAGATCTGGCTAAGAGCTTTCTCATGTGCTGAGTTCATTGGAGGAGCAGAGCCACACAGCCAGTGCCACCTGGGAGCAGCGAAGAGCTGAGACACAGCAGTGTCACTGTCAGGATCTTATCAGTCAGCTTCAAACTGGTGGGCCAGGGAGATACTATCCCACCCACTGCCTTCCTCTGGGAGCCTCCACAAGGCCAACAAACAACTATTTGGAAAATCAACTTGCTGCTTCTACACCCTGAGCAGAGATGTTCACTGGACCTTTCACTCTGAAGCAGCTCAGCACCATAACATTATGCACAGTTTGCCTAGGAAAGAAACCCAAATATTTGGGATGGGCACAAACACCCAGGGCCTGAGCCCCAAGGCCTGAAGGAGCCCATAAGAAAGATGGAGAGCGACTTTGGGCAAGGGCCTGGAGGGGCAGGACGAGGCAGAACGACTTCACACTGTCACAGAGGATAGGTTTAGAGGGGATACTGGGAAGAAATTGTTCCCTCTGAGAGTGCTGAGGCACTGGCACAGGTTGTCCAGAGAAGCCGTGCCTGCTCCATCCCTGGAAGTGTTCCAGGCCAGGTTGGATGGGGCTTGGAGCAACCTGGACTGGTGGAAAGTGTCCCTGCCCATGGCAGGGGGTGGGACTGGATGAGCTTTAAGGTCTCTTCCAAGCCAATCCACTCTGTGATTCCATGATCCTATGACAAACCAGGCTGTGCTAAATACACCCATGAAGCCCTTGAATAGCTACTGGGAGGCACCAAGTGAGTGAGTGGGCAGGCAAACACCCCTCAGCAGCTGACTTGCCTCTGTGTTTAAGCAAAGAATCTGCTGGGGAAGCTCATCTTACTGACCTGCTCCACATCCCAGCTCAGCTGTGCCAGCTCTGCTCTCCTGGCTTCAGAGCACTCACTACAAAGACCTGCAAAGAGTCAGCACCAAAGTGCTGCTAACAGACAAGTGACACCCCCAAAGCACAGGGACATATCCTGCTCTGCAGCTGTTAGCTAAGTCCTTGGTGTTCAGTCCAACACAAGGAGGCAGAAAGGCTGGTGAAGCAAATCTCCAGCTCACAAGGCCCGCAGGACAGGCCTGGCTGCAGTCCAGCCTCCTTCCCATGGCTCCAACCTTCCACCTTCAGTGGTGCAGGCAGCAGCCTCAAGGGTCCCTCCAGCCTCACTGCTTCGAGTCAGCAGGTTCACAGCTGGAGATCAGGAGGCAGGACAAGCTTTTGGGGCCTTTGTACAACACTTCTGCTCATCCTCACCCTAATTCTGCAGCTCCTTCACACAGAAAATCAGGGGATGCTCCCAAGGCAGGGATGGGAGGCAGAGACCTTCAGCAGCCAGCCAGGATCAGCATCCAACCTGAGAGCAGGATTCCCTGGAGCATGTTGTACAAGAGCCTCAGGCATGGAAGGAGAGGAAGTTCCTGCACTGGATGAACTTGGTAAGTTAATTAGTATCCAGAGCCAGCCAGAGCTGGATACCAGGTCCAGGCAAGCAGGATGTGAGCAAGGTCCCAGCTCCCATGGCTCCTGTCTCACTGCACATCACCTGGCTGCAACCTGAAGCCTCTGTGGACATCAGTCACAGGAGCCAGGTAGGACACCAGTCCCAGCCACCTATGGCCCACACATTCTGGATTCTGTGAAACTGGAAAATCACCAATGCTCTCTGCTGCTTAAGGAGCCAGACATCTCCTACAGAAAGCCTTCACTGCACCTGGCTATGCTCGTAGGTTTTTCCTGCAGATGTTTCCAGGCTCATCAGGAGTCTGCTGGCTACCTTTCCCAAGAGGCCAGGTGCCCCACCCTGGAATCCCTGCCTTTGGTAGGAGTGATACTGTTTCCCAGAGGAAGAGGAGGCAGCTCAAGGGCACACTTAATTGCAGCCTCCTGCCACACTGCTGGTGGCTGATCCATTTCCCTACCTGCTGTGTGTGCTCAGACCCTCACCTGTCCTTCTGCCTCGGGGCAGGACCTATGGCAACTTCTCCTCCCCTTCCAAGATGCTCATCTCATCCAGGACATCTCATCCTGTCCAAGCAGAGTCCACCTAAAGCTGGAATGCTGGGGGATCCCTTTTGAAGAGAATTTTTATGCACCTAACAACATGCTGCAGACTTTCCTGTCCTTAGTGACAATATGCTGCAGCTGCTCTCAGAGAACCTTCTCTTCTAGGCAAACCCTCGATTTTCCAAGCCTGAGGAGCATAAGCAGCTCATAAATCTCCCAAGGTATTCCCTTAAAACATGCAGGGCACATCATTCCTACAGCAGGAGCATGAACTTCTGGAAGGAGAGGTCCCAGGGCTGACACCCCCTCACTGGAAGGAGCAGGAGCAGCTGAGGTGCCACCAGGCTAACATCACCCTGAGTAAGCATCCTCAGATCCAGCTGAGATTCCAACTGATGGCTGTGCAGTCCCAGTGGAACTTCCCAAGGCATTTACCTACCTTGGACTCGAGGTAGACATTAGCTGAAGACATCTTTCCCAGTTTGCACATGCAGCAGGCCAGGGAGATGGCACAGAGGATGAAGAGGCTGTCGTTGACGAGGGCACGGGCAAGCACTGTCCACCTCAGCTGGTTCTCTGGGACCTCTCCATGGATCAGCATTGCACAGGTTAAATTCACAACTAAGAAGAAGAGGCTGGTGAAGATGGAGCCCAGATACAACAGGACCCTGCAGAGATGGTGGGGGGAAAATGGAGTTTGAGTGAGACAATCCCAAGCTCATTCTGTATCTCCTTTCTGTCTCATGGGGCAGGAGACCCTCCCAGCACACCCAGTGCTCCGTTGGCTGCGGAGATCAGACATTCCAGCAGGTTTCAGGGGTTGTATTGGCAGCCCAAGGCTGCAGAGCATTTGTTGGAGCTGCTCTCATAACACATGAGCAGTGTAAGCAGTCATGAGTTGCAAGACTCATCTTCTGACAGTCAGGTTCTTATCTTGCAGATTTTAAGTGTTGCTCTAGCTCTGCATTAACTCCAGTCAATAAGCCATGAGTCATCACAACCACTGCAACTTCTTTACCGAAAGCCACTGGAGCTTGCATTTTCCAGTGTGGGTTTCCCTGGATATGGCTAGGAAGCACCTGGGCTGCACAGACACAGGTCTCCCATCACTCAAGCCTTACTCTACAGATCTTTTCTGGGGTGGGACAGCTCACAGTGACCTTCAGAGTTCACCCAGTAGGTTAACAGCAGTGGCACTGAGCTTCCTTGGAGCTCCCAGTGCTGCTCCAACACTGATCCTTTGTCAGAGCACAGGTATGGAATTAGCCTTTGGGGTCTCCTTTTCCCATCTCCCATCCCCAGCACTACTGTGAGTTCCCCTTGAACCAGCTTTGAAGGGAAGGTCAGAATAGCATCACTTACTTGTACTTGTTGAATTCAGCTGCACATTTCACTTTGAATATGACCTAGAGGGAAGATTTACAAAGTGTTACTTAACATGACCTACAGTTCTCCTTTAAAATTAGCCAAGGAGGAGCCAGAACCAAGCTGGACATCCCCAAGGACTCTGGATTATCTCTTAGCACCAAGTCTTGCACTGGACCCAAAAGATTAGCACTTTCCTTGCAGGAGCCAAGCTCACATACAGGAGCCCAACAGCCATAAACATATTTAACACCCCAAACGTGACAGGGACTAACACAGGGACAGGGACTAACACAATACCTAAAGACTTGGAGTTTTGCACTTAATAGCCACTAAACTCCTTCAAAAATACACCTCCTTTGCCCAGTGTTCTGTGCTGCATATTTTAGGACCTCAAACAGGCAGGAATTCCATGTTAGAAAAGGCTGTTTCAGCTGCTGTGCTTCAGCAAGACAAATAGCTGACCTAAAATAGCCCTCTGGGGTTGGATCTTGGACCTGCAGCCTGGAACAAGCACCTGGAGCTCCCAGCTCCTCCATCCTGCTGATGTTTGTAGGACAAATAGATCTGAAAAGTAACTCTGAGATGGTAGGAAATCCTCCAGAGGGGAAAGGTTGAAGCATATGGGGCAGGACTTCAGCCTAAGGAAGTAGGGAGAGTTTAGGAAATTGTAGACACACTCAAGTCACAGCTTGATGTGAGCAGAGGTCCTGCTGGATGGGGACAGGGAACCAGAGCTCACAGTGGTCTGGAAAACAGGAGGAAAATAGCCATGGCAGGAACTGGGTTGTGTCCTGGGAGAAATGCAGCTCCAGGTACAGACCCCACCAGGAAGGATCCCAGAGCCAAGGTCACAGGCAAAGCTCATGTCCTGACTAGAGACTTTGAAGGAACTTGGGAAGAGATAGAGACATCCAGACAGATCCAGCACACCTGCATTTGTGGGAATGCACAGGTGTGGAGGTTCATTTCCTTCTCCTGCACAGAGCCTTCCCTGTCAGCTTCCAGACTTTGGAGCACTGAAGGATCACATCTCCTGTAGGGCAGCTTTTTTCCTGGTGGGATTTCCTGGCTCCTGCCTTACAGCCAGCACCGAGGCAGAAATGGCACTCAAGCTTCAGGAATCAAGCTTCAGGAATCAGGCTCCTGCCAACAGGATTTCCAGAGATATTTCAGGATTTGAGGGTTGTCTGAGCCACTGCAGTAGTTTTGAGCATTTGAAAGGGCACCAGGCAGCTTGAGTGACCTCTTCCAAGAGCCATTTCCACTGCCTGGATCCTCTCTCCCAGTCTGAGGGAGAATGAGCTCAAGCAGCATTTGGGAACAAGACACAGTTCTTCAGCAGAGGGCAGGATCCACCCCCATGGATGTTCTCTATCTTGTTGTCCTGACGTACACCAGCCCAGAGAAATACAAAAGTGTGGCACAATCCACTCTGAGCCCTAAAACTCACCTGAGTCACAGGAAACCTGGGCCTTGGAAGGATCATGTGGTGACTTCAAAGCAGAAATATCCCTGAATCCTCCTTAGTTTGCCACTAGGCTATATTCAAGCACTTCTGGAGTGGCATAGAAACATTAAGGTTGGAAAAGCCCTCTAAGACCATCGAGTCCAACCATTCCGTCAGCACAACCAAGGCCACCACTAACCATGTCTCCAAGTGCCACATCCACTCGGCACCAATTGGAATGGTGACTCCACCCCTGCCCTGTCAAGCCTGTTCCAATGCCTGGTCACCCTTTTCATGATGGAATTTTCCCTAATATCTAATCTAAACCTCCCCTGGTGTAACTTGAGGCTGTTCCCTTTTGTCCTGTCAAAACAAGCCATCAAGGACATACAGCTGGGAAAACCTCTTGGTGCAGCACCCACTTGGACAGCACAGAA